CCTGGATAGTTTAAAAAGCCTTCGTGTAAACGTTGTGAAAAGTTATCGTAGAAGACGATCTTTCGGAGTATAGAGTGTTTGCGCCAATTTCAATAACCTTGCATTTGATCCGAACTGGCTTCCAACAAAATTCCTGAAAAATAGTGATAAGCCATTGCATGAGGTGATTTATTTTGTCCTAGATGAAGTAGCTTAAGTTAAAGAATAAATTGTGCGAAATAGTTGATATTCCTTGGAAACAATTTATGCTCCAGAGTCTTCCAGAAATCAGACGAAATAATGGTTTATTCGGGGCAAATCAGATTTCAGAATATGTAATCACTAAAAGATTCACCGAAATATATTTTGATGCAGAAAATTAATTATAAGTTGTTTGACTTTTTTGCACGTTGCCTGTTTATTTTACTTTGTGAACATTAAAGTTACAAAGCTACAAGTTCATTTTTGAAAATCATTTTTACGTCCTGTGTTATTTCAATGGGAGAGGTTTCTTGATAAAGTCTATTACCTTCAGACTTTGCCGTAAATAAAGACATCATTTTTGTTAAATAAAATTCAATTGTCTACTTAACTCTTTTGCGCGGTATTTAATTATTTTTAAAAGCTACTGAGCGGTAATTAATTTACTAAAAATTAGGATTTTCATGCCTGCCAATTTGAAAGTGACATAAAACCTAAATCAACAGAGATAACACCACCAAATTTTTACTCATAATTGGAAACATATGTATAAATCATTTGTTAACGTATGAACTCATCACAATCAGAGGCACTGATGATAAAAAAATCCTAAACATTAAGTATTGCAAAAAAACATAAGACCCCTACTAAATATTACCTTGGTGTACCCCAGCAGCTTCCCTTGCCTGTCCCCCAGGCACAGAGTTGTCAGGCCCATCATCGTTCTAAGTTTCATTTTCTGAGGCTTCAAATATTAGGCTTCACTGCCAGAATAATTGAATATAGCAGCGATTTGATCATCATTACCCGTCTAAATCTAGCCCTTTTTAAATACCACAATGTCTGATCACTTCCAGATTCGTATTTGTTACAAAATAAATCAATTAAGTGACCAAAATAATTTTTTTCAGAAACTTTGCTTCGCCAAATTAATTTTAAATCACTTCCTGTCAATGTGAGTACCAAATATTGGCACTGCAATACAAGGGTGACATCTTTTGAAGTCTGCTAAAACTTTCCTATAGCATGTCGACTCCAGGTTGACATACGCCATAAAGCGTAGTGGCGACAAAACTCGCCTGACCGCGCAAAAGAGTTAATGAAGGTATTAAAATGAATTATATTTCCTCTTCCTAAATAGTTTTTTCTTTACAAATAAGATTTCAAACTTAAAGGTGCTTTAATACATAAGCCAATGGGTTAATTAGGATAGCCAAACTTTTGGAGGGAGTGTAATTGTACAAATTGCATTTTTTTGGGAACCCTAATGAAGGGGGGGGGGATTTGTGAATAGCATAAAAATAGAACCCCCGGTCACCAAATCCTGGCTACGCCACTGTGGTAAAAGTACATTTAGAAGTGTTGTTTCGAAAATTGTTTATCAACAATTTTTATTTGAAAATGCGACTTCTAGTTAAGGGAAAATCACAAAAAGTAAGATATATCTTCTTGTATTGGACAGATAAAATTATCTTCAACTATACATATATCAATTTGCATAACTATAATGAAAATTGAATGACTAAAACAGATGAATATTAAGTTAAAGGGAACTTTCTTCTTTACCCACCATGCTATCTGATCCGAAAGAGCCACCTGGTGGTGAAACTGGTAGCTACCTACTCTCATCTGAGTAACTGAATAATCATGCCTCCATTGCCCTGTTACAAAATAAATGTTGTTGCTGGCTTTTAAAAATAAGTGTCCATATGGTATATAAAAAATCATCGAAAATAATAGTACAATAACGTCATTTCAAAGGGCAATATAGTGAAACATTGGACCAAGGGCCACAGGCCCAAGGTCCAATATTTCACTATTTTGCCCGCAGAAATGATGTTATTACTATTATTACCAGCGTTAATGCCCAGGGCTGAAATAGCAAATTTGAAATAGAAAATCTTACGCACTGAACGATATCACTTTTCCCGGGAAACATAGCCGGGCGGATAATGTCATTATTGCCCGACTAAAGTCATTAACGCCCGACACAATATTGCTCACGTCAATATAGCAATTTAAATGCCTTCTCAACTAGTACTAAAACCCCTAGAATAGGCCATGCAAGGTGGTAATAATTCAAACTGAACAGAGGGGGAGGGGTTGTGTATTATTTTTAAACTCTGTGTCATATTTAGTCTGAAAAAGCAGAAACTTTAAGAAGGAATTTTAAAGATGAGATCTAAATTCAAAATGTCTGCCATATATCACAAGAAGTATAAAAACTCAAATACTAGTTATTGAATTTTGTCTACATATTTTAGGTTCATGCCTCTGGGCACAGGTCCTAACTGAAGAGGGAATATGGAATAAGGGTCATGTCACGTTATACATTTAGATTTCTCATAAATGACAGTGTTATTGTCTGGTTATTATGAAATTATCAAAATAAGATGTGATTTGACAAAAAAATTTTTTGATTTGCTACTTTATTGAGTCGCTGTTTTCTAGTATTTTTATGTCACAACACATAAATATAAAGGAAATTCACATTATCATAGAAAATGCAAATTGAAGATGATATCTTGATGATATCCACTGTGTGTAAGTGCTGCATTTACTCCTTCCCCACTCCCTTGTTTTTTATATTAAATTGTGAGAAATTGCAATATCATTTGATATCAAAAACTGTGTGAAGGTTAAGAGAAAACCACAACTTGAGTCTCAATTTTTCATTATATCCCATAAATAAAATGCCACTATTGGGTCTTAGAATGCTGGCTGAAATAACTAGAAAAGATCAAAACTTAGAGATGTGAAGTTAATACTCTTAATTGAGAAGAAATGCAATAAGATCAGTTACCTTATTCATATTTTAAAGAGAAACTGGTTGAACTAATCATGAGCATTGTGCCATTTTAAGCAGGGATTTATCATATCAGACTGTTATCTATTCTATAGTGGTAAATATATATTTTATATTAACAAGTTGTAGTGTTAAGTAGGAGTTTAGCCAATGCAGGTAGCTTCTTGAGTTCCTTTGTCTGCGGAATGACATATACATAACTAGCTGCATTCTGGGTACTTTGTTATTATTAATAAGACGTTACATCATTGAGTTCAGATTTTCAAATCATTAATAAGAGCAGAGCTAAGGTGGCAAGGACAGTTTTATTAAACAAGGAGAAATTCACAACACATTATGACTACCATTATGAAGATACTGTAAGCAAACATTTACCAGATGAAATATATACAGATAGAGTTTAGAAGTAGCTAGGAAGAAGGAGAAATTCATCCAGTAAAAGACACTAGAGAAAAGAAATCAAAATTAAAACATTACTTGTAAATTAATAATCTAGTTAGGGTCTCAGAGTTATAGAAAAATGAGTGGACATTACACGGGATACGCAACAGCTATGACATTGCTGAATCTGTCACGGCAGATACCCAGTCATATGCCAAGCTATAATTTTCATCAAGGTACGTAAGTTAATGTAAATTGTGTTTAAAGAATCAGAAAGAATATAGAGCTGTGATCTCCCCAGGATTTTTGTCACTAGGGTTGTACTAAGTCCTAATTTTACCTGTTTTGATCAAAATATCTCAATCCGCTCTGGAAGGATACAAACATATTTTCAGCAGGGTGGCATATAATTTCCTGATTTTCAATCAGGGTGTAGGACCTGGTCACTCTTATGCTTGGGAGTTTACAATGTTGTAGGCAATAAAATGAAAATGAGGGCATCCATTCTTTCGAAATCATTACCTATTATGTAACCTTAAAAATTGAAGCATTATCATCATGAAATATTGGAAGTGTTTGACAGAGAATATTGTGTTCTAAAATTGGAACATTTCTTAAATCATTACATGAGATTGACCTGTTTTTTACATTTTGTTTTCATAACCAAAGGGAAGGTTTTTGCCTCTTGCAGGTCTTAATATCTTTTTATGATATTCTAATAATTATCAGCAGAAATGAAGATGGGTATCAAGTTACATATAGTCATTGCAAAGGGATATTATTTTATATGTTCTATTTATATCTTATTTCTTCAATTATTGACTTAAAAACAACCTTTTTGAAAACAACTTATTATCTCTAATTAAAAATCAGTTGTAAACAACAAACTAATGAAAAAAACTGTAATCTATGATATATTGTCTTGTTTGTTTAGTTATACTGTTTATTCATGTATTGACTCAGATTTCTAAACTTACATTTTTGATTGATTTGGCATGAGACCACGCCTTAACAGAAAATATAATTCCTCTAATTCCTTAAATATTTGATGCAACATAAGTACACCACTGTTTCATGCATTCAACTCTCTCCACAGAATTATTCATGAACATTTTAAGATAATTGAAAGTTATTCCAAAAATATTGGGTTGTTTTTTGATGTCACCCTTTATAGTTTGTTGACAGTATATACTAGTTTGAACCATCTAGGTCATTTTATTGGAAAGTTGTAACCAGTTGGTGTTCTATTACATGTTGTCTCATTGATTCCGTTCTATTAGAACAAGTCCTCAAGATGTATGTTATATGTAGCTTGCCTGGCTACCTGTGTTTGACATGTGACGTAATAGAATTACATGTATGTGGTACAGCTTCTAATTGCCTTTTCTCATAGTATATGCCAGTGATGTAGCTGCTATCTACCCCTCTCTCAATTGCCAACTTCCTAATAGACATGATAGACCTAAGAAAGGTCCAAGACAAGATGATCTCTCATTTTAAAAAAGGAAATCTTCAATCTGATCTACTCAATCAGTAATCTCAAGTTTTGTTAAATGTGGTCTTGGATGTTAAATACAACATGCCATGTTGATAAAAATACAGTTTTTTCAAAAGTTACACATTCTGCTTTCAGGTAACAAGGAGAAAGATGGCAAGAAGGAGGGTGATAATCCTGGTGGCTATGACTTCAGCTCTGCCTTCCTGGGCCCCAATCTCTGGGATAAGACCCTCCCTATGCCTGAGGGGAATGACTTCACCCTCGAGTACATGGATCTTGATGAGTTCTTGACAGAAAATGGACTGGAGAATGACATTGATGCTGCAGGATCAGCAGATAGTAATGAAGGTAAAACACGTGAAATTCTAAATACAGTAAAAACTGGTGCCTGACTGGCTAAAAATGATCAGAGGTGTTCAGATTTTGAGGTTTTTGCATCCGCAAAATTCCAGATTTCGATATTCCTATTGACCTCATACTTTTATGGCATTCCAAAATCTGATTCAAATTTATTAAGTCATGCTAGAAAGACCCATTATGATTGAGACCATTGGATGTTTTCAAAGTTTTAATATCATAACAAATTTGTGTTTTGAATTGAAAATATTTGAGCAATTTTGAAAGAAATATGTGTTCAGATTGGACAAGTTTTCAAATATGTTCACCTCTCAAATTAATTTCATGTTTTCTGATCAATTGTAATAAAATTATTTTTAACTTATTATTTTATTGTATTTAAAGTTTCACATATGCAGATTTAAACTTTATTTTGTCAATAATTTCATCAACTCCAGAGCATTATTTATGGATGTGTTCATGTTACAGAGATATGTTGAATCAAAGAGTCAGCTGTTTTAAATCTTAAAAGGGATGAAATTATTATCATGCCAGTGCAACCAAATTTTTCTTTTCATAAAGCTGTAATCTTGGAGCACCACAGACCAATTTTGACAGATAATTATTACATTCTTATATCAACTTACAAACACATATTCAATGCAGATGTTCCATGTTTAGCAAAAAATATGCCATTCCACTTAAGAGAGGCTTCTAAATATCACAAGTCCATGCATCAGTACTACTAAGCACTATTCATCATTCCCAAACCTTTTCTTATAAATTGAACTTTGAGGAATTGACTGCAGATTTCTTTGGAGCTCCCCCCGAACATTTTGTATCTTGGCAATTCTTAACAACTTCTAAAATAACTCATTTCTTAGAGAACTCATCCTCTTGACAACCCATCTCCTTGGTTGTTCATTTCTCAAGAGAGCTCATCTCTTAGTATAGACAATTCATCTCATTGACAACTCATTTCTTAGATATCTCATCTCTTAGATAACTCATCTCATAGACAATTCGTCTCCTAGGTAACTCATCCACTTGTTAAACCATCTTCTAGATAACTCATGTTCTGGGCAACTTATTTCTTAGATAACTAATCACCTTGACAGTCCATCTCATAGACAACTCATCTCCAAGGTAACTCATCATCTTCTTTTAGCTACTCATTTTTAGATGACTTACAAACATATTTTAGTGTACTGAAGATGCTTTCATTGACATTGAATCTAGTATATTTAGCACCTTGTGTAAAGGCAATTATATTGATCATCATGTAGAAAATAATATTTGTGTTGTATACAATCGTTTTAGCAACAGTAACTATGGGATATTAATCATAAACTGTGCGGTACCAGACTTTGAAATTTTGGCTTCATTGTTCTGTGCAATATTAAAATAATTATAATAAGTGCTCCCCTTTGCATGTGATTTTATACCTGGTTGCAATTGCAATAGTCGCACCATATTAAATAAAAATCTTTATAAGTACTTTTCTTTATGAATGAAAAATGAGAATATTAGTTTTTGGTTTGGCAGTAATATTGTTAGACCATGTCAGACCGCACCATATTTGTTACAAATGAATAAATTAAAATAGTAGAATTCAAATAAGGTTGTATTCTGCATGTTAAACACTGTGGCGCATAAACTTTTTTCCTATTCATAATTATTGAACACTATTTGAGTTTTCGCATTATGGTAGGTTTGCTTCATTTAAATGTAAATTATCACGAACATTCAATGTTTTGTTAATGCATTTATCAAACATTTCACTGTTGTAATGAAATGGGAGTTTATTCACAAATAATTATTGATAAAATGCTCAACTGAAAGAATGTACATATGTGCATAATGTCAACGTATATTTGTGAATTCAAGAAATTGATCAGAATTTATCTTTTAGAGATGTAAAAAGTTTTTATGCACTTATTTGATATACCTATTTAATATAATGTTTTATAATCTAACCTTGATATGAAGTATACTGATAACTCAGTTTTATAAGTACTTCAATTCACATGTTTGAAAACGTGTTCAGGAAACTTGAGACTTAGCCTTTATCACATTCATTGAGGCCAACCTATACGGTTGGCCTAATTTTCACCAGTGCAAAAATGTGGCACTTTCTGTACTGAATAATTAATATCACAAGAACTACTAGATGGATCTAGATACAATTTTCACAGTATCAGTAGTTGTAGAAATGTGTCATTTAGTTTATTAATAAATGTGTGCATAAACACTTCACCTTGATCTGGCCAAACACTTGTAGGCATTTTCAACCCCTGGTCAGAATCTATATCTGAATTTGCATTGATCAAATTTCAATTTTTCAAAAAAAATTTAAGCCCGAATGCAAATTCCGGAAGTCGATTATTAAGAGCTCCTTATAAAATTTCGATGATTTGTACTAAATTGTTATGTTTTTGTAGATGTAGACCAGTAGTACAAAGAACCATCTCTAATCATACTGTACAAAGTTCAACAACAAAGTTCAATATTTATAGGTCCCCAGAGGCCCTTCTGTGGAAGTCCACCTCGCCTGCTAATCCCACCCTCACCCCCTGCAGATCACTCCTCGTTGTCGCAGTTCTCACCCTCTGTACTCCCATCTACATCACCCCAGGATGAGGCACCAAAAAGTCCATCAAGTCGAACATCATCACCAGTGGTAGATGTGGATTATGTTCCTAATGAACAGGAGCTTGCTTTAGCAAACATACCAGGTAAAACTTGAATTATCGTGTATTTTGAAATTCATCTCATCAAACATCATTGGAGATTGAATATTTGGATATTATGGTCTATCATTATAAGAATTTTTATTTGAGAGTAATCATTGGCTCATTTATTTACTGGAGTAATGTATTTCATTTAGTCAAGTAATGTGTCTTTTGTATATCATTTAGTTTTCCATGTACATGTATATAGTTTACAGTAATGAAATAAAATAATTATATAAAATAATTAATGTTCAATTTTACTCAAACTTATTTAAATAAAATTAAACAGGTCAGGAGGTCTTTGATCCAAGAAAGCGACAGTTTAGCGAAGAGGAACTTAAGCCCCAGCCTATGATAAAGAAATCGAAGAAGGTAAGCAAAAAATAACTTCCCCTCTCTTTCACCTCCCTCAGGGATGGGGTCAGGGTTCTCAAAATCTGAATTTGAAATTAACAAGGGGGGACCCCTTTTTGTTTTCAAAATGTTGGCCCATTTTTCAAAAAGGCTGATTTTAAAATTAAGCTTATATGCCTTAAAAGCCTATTTGTTTCTCTAATGACATGTTCAAAATTTTAAGAGTTATGATAAAATTGTTTTTGTGGGATTTGCTACCCTGGGGAGATGCTGTTTTTCATGTTTCATAAGGCTGATCTACCACGTCTAGAAATAAATTAACCTATTTTCGGCATATGGTTAATGGTTTCCAATACCTTGACATTTGATACTAAGATCTAAGAGAATACGGATAATTGATTATTGAAATACTACCTTCAATGGGTTCTTTTGTCAATCGTGTGTTTTTCTCGACATTCGGAAAGGCAGAATTATACGCTACACAAAACACTTCATTACTTCATATATTATGATATAAAATATGCAGTAGAGAGCAATTATCTGTCCTTCCCAAGTTGGCACAGTTTCTGAGATATTGTCAATTTTGACCTAAAAAGACCTGACATTTTCAGGGAACTTTCTCATGTATGGCAGTCAATGGCAGGTTTTGTTTTAAAGTTACTAAGTAACTGAGTAAATAACTCAGTAACTGTGAGCACAGAACTGTTGGTCCTTTAAAACAATTTTCTTCTTCCCCAAATGAGAATGACTCATTCATTTGGGGAGAAAGTTGCCCTTGGGGAGAAAAAGACCTATATATTGTTGATGACTTGATGTCAATTTTGCAAATTGTATAGAAAATGTTCATTTGGGAAGGAATGTGTTTCATGGAGAATTGTAGAAAAATGAGTGAGGAATATTAGTGATTTGTTAATAATAGACAGGAATTCTCATTTTTAATTCATTATTTCTTATGTAGTTTTTAATTAGTAAAATAAGCTGTTAACGGATATTGGGAGTTTCAAATTATATGTTAATATAGAAAATCATGATGTTTTTCTATAATATTCTCACAGTCGTGATGTTCAGTTGGTTGACTCTTGGCATTACATGTACTTGACTTGAAGTAGACTAATGAACTAGATGTAAGGAAAAATAATCTTGATAGCTATAATCAGAGATTGTTGGTGTCTCAAACCTGCCTTGAAGAATGAATATGACCACAACTTATTGCTCGCTACTTACATTTTAATATATGAAAACACAAACATGAATTAGGATAGCAAAATGTGTCTTGATTTAATATTTGCCTCCATGGTAACAATGATATCAAATTGTTGTTATATAAGTGTGAATTTCAAAGACTGGCAAGTCATAGAAAACCATATATTTTCTTGGATTATTAAGTCTAATTGTCTATAAACAAAATAAGGTTTGGACTCCTTTCACAAATTCTTAATAATTCCAGGTTTTTGTGGCAGAGGATGCTAAAGACGACAAGTATTGGAATAGACGTCGTAAAAACAATGTTGCTGCCAAGAGATCACGTGATGCACGTCGCGTCAAAGAAAATCAAATCGCAATGCGTGCAAGTTTTCTGGAAAAGCTCAACAATGAGGTGAAGGCCACATTGAAGAAAACATTGAAGGAAAATGAAGAGCTCAAAAAGAGGCTTTCAAAGTACGAGCCTGTTTAATTGTAAACTTCTTTTGACCATGTAAGGCCAAGCAAGGATAAATAGACCTTACAATAGCAAAGTCAAAGTGTATAAACATATTCTTTCAAATTCATAATTCCATTTCATACATGTAGATTCAAGATTTAAGCCATGTGACATCCAAATATAATATTCATGTTTTAGTGTTTAAAGTCTGTCACATTTAGCTTACTCATCTGAATATTCAATATGTATATAGCATAGGGAGCATGATGTATTGAAATGAAAGCATAGATTTATACACTTTGACAAAAAGCTCATATTTATGGTGTATGTATGTCTCTACCAGATTTTGTCAATATAAGGCCCATGGCTTTGATCTCTAACATCTGGAACTTTTTACAAATTATTTTGCCTTATTTGTCATTGCAATATGCACAAGATATTGTTTCTGTATAGAAAATTCCCATATGGGCCTTTGAAATGTTGTTTGTGAATTAGAATAAGCAAAAAGATCCCCAGCCATTTCTGGTGCTTTTGAGAGAGATCTTGGGAAAGTTGCATACACTGTACATCAGTCGTACACATCACCACTGAAGCATACAGAACAGATAAAACATGATTTAGTTATGTAAGAAGCCCATGAGAATATTTGGCTTCTTGGAAGGCTGTGACTCAAATGTAGCATACATCCATGTTAGACTGATCATAAATTTGGGGTTGTAGTGAGAGAAATTGAATTGAGTTGGAAGTCGGAAACAGTTTCACTTGCTATGACCCTGCCATTGTATATAGTTATAGAGAAATGTGTGCAGTTAGAAAGCAGCAGACAGCCCAGCTTTGCTACCTGTACAACATGATCATACTTAAAAGAGCTATACTGTAATTGTCGTCTTATGTATCCCAAGGCACCAAATGGTGTTTTCATTTCACTCGATTCTACACATCCCATTTCATTGTCCTATGTAAATGACATTTTAGCAGGGCAATGTGTGATATTTATCACTGTATGTCTTGCTCAATATTTTGAATCATAATTAGATGATTTCAGCAGAGTACTTCATTATATTCAAATGATGTAAACATAGTGACGTATCATGTTTAAATGATTCTATAATAATAGCATATATTAATATGATATGAACATTTAAGAGTGGGCTGGAAAGACGCACAATGTACAGAGTATAATAGAATGTAATGAAAATGTGTCATGCGTAAATTGATGTTGTACGTATGTCTTCATTCAGTGAACATGTTACTCAAAGAGACGCCATCTGTTGAAAACAATTGCCATCAAATGCGAGGATTTGAATCATTTGCTCTATTTCAAAATTAACACGGTTGAAATGTTGAGTTCAAATCATACATGCATACATTCTCTCATGGTGAAACTTGCTTGCTTCAGCATATACATCTTGTTGTAGGTTTAAGAGACATGGCCTCATAATGTTACATCTTGTTGTAGGTTTAAGAGACATGGCCTCATAATGTTACAAATCAAATCACTTCACTTGGAGCCAAACTTTACACTCACTTACAGTACAGCATTTTAAGCAAAAAGGCTGATTTAAGAAATATATATATAGATTATTTTTTTATCATATAAAACATCGTTAGGAGAAAATATATTATAAAATAGATGAGGAAATAATCAGGAATTATAAAAAAGCTGTCAGTCAAGTTATCACTACTATTATATATTAGATATTTAACATGATCGGTGTAACATATCTATCTTTATATAGACCAATCAGATTAAAGACATTATAGGTATAATCTAATAGAAATCAAGCTCATAGCATGAATTGTACATTTTTCAGAAATTTGGATTGACCAATTTTTTCAAATAGTTCACTGTATATTTCATTGTCATCATAGAATCATTTTGAATCACAAGATTTTCGATTTACAAAAATATAATTGAATCATCATTATGAAGAATAGTTGAAAGGTTTTCAATTTGTAAATATAATGTATATGAAAAAAGAGTTGCTTATTATCCCAACAAACAATGTTTGGAGGGATATAGAGAATTCAGCCATTTGATCATTCTTTCTTCTGTCTGGTTGATAACTCCAGTATTGGGTTGACAGACATTGTTCAAAATCTAAAAGCTAATGCCCAATTGATGTTAGACCCCTGCTCAAGCAAAATTTTCCAACATGACTACTGTATTCAAAAAGGTACCGGATTTTCTCGCATATAAGCCCTGGGCGTATAACTGAAAGAAGGGGTAATTTCGTCTGTTATTTTACCTCTTATTTTTCGCCCATGGGCGTATAAGTGTACTACTTTCGATTTTTGGCCCAGTGGGCGTAAAGGTGAGAAGAGCTGATGAATACAATGGTTCCTCAAAGACTACCGTGCCTACTGTTGTAGTCCTACCGCATGTTTTGTAAGAATTATAAAGGAAATGTCACCTACAACCTTGGACTTAATGTTGAAACAAAGTAACAACAGAACGATCCACCACTGCCACTTACGGCACAGCGTTGAACTTAATGTTGAAACAAAGTAACGACAGAACTATCTGCCAGTGACAAAATACTCTTGAATTTATTGAAAAAATCAATAAATAATCATTTTTTATAGGCCCATGGGCGTATAAGCGTACTACATTCGATTTTTGGCCCATGGGCCTAAATTTAGGGGGGCGTATATGCGAGAAAATCCGGTAACCTTTTTTCATGAAGAAATGTAATTTTTGATGTTTTATCATATTTGGTCTAAATTTATAGACTGATGTCCTATGAGCATTGGACCTCTGTTCATAAAGGAACAAAATGGCTGCTGAATTTAAAAAACACCATATTTAGAAGAATCTATCTAATTTTTCATATCCCAAACATAGATAAGTTATCAAATTTGGTCCACATTTTATAGGCTGATGATTGTGACCATTAGATCTGTACTCAAGAAGGAAAGTTGACTTTGACATCTTGGATGCCAAAATGATGAGTGATTTGATTGTTTGTTTGATGGGATTTGCTGCTCCGGGGAGTTGCTGTTCTTATAAGTTTAAAACACATAAGTGGTGTGGTACCCTTAGTTATACACATACATGTATGTTATGTCAGTAAGAAAACAAAATAAATATTCTGAATACTGAATATGAATTTAGTCTTTATGTTAAATTCAAATGATAGGACAATTGTTTAAAGGCCATCTCTGACTTCTTATTTTACCCAAATCTTCCATGATGAAACTCATCCTTTTGAGTAACACCTGTCATAACCTGTGTAATCACTCTGGCCTCGGAAAATCTACTTTATTGACATCTCTGTGGGACCTCGTTCTATTGAACATTTTCCACCAGTGAACACTGTTTTGTTGCTCCTAAAGGTCACTGTACATAAGCTTCACTTGAATACTCGTAGATGGCAGTTTTACTTTTACTAGTTTTACAGTGAAACTTGCATATCCGAACAGCTTTCTAAACTCTATGTCAATGTGAAAGTTTATTTCTGTCCCATGTTTCTTGCATTTAAGAAAAACTCTAAATGTATGGCAGGTGTGAAAGAAATGATGGTCCCCTGGGGATTATGGTCCCCTTTCTCAACGGCCCTTACTGGCCCTGATTGCGTATAAGATAATGAGGGAAAGAGTTGTATTTAGGTCACCATATAAATCAATGGAGAGTAGGACCATAATTTGATAGGACCTCCTATCCGTTTACACCGGTCTAGGAAGCATTTGTATTGGACAGATTTTAGTGTACACAATAGTTTCATTGAAACAGTAAAGGGAAGTTCTTTGTTTTTAAGGTAGAAGTTCAGTGTCCATTGCGCAATCAGATCGCGCCTTTCTAATGCCTAATACAAAAAATAAAACTTCGATATTCGTGGCGTGAAAACGCTGGGACTTACATTTTTAAACCCCACTGGCGGATCTAGAAGCTAACAGAGGGGGGGGGGGGCACATTTCAAACTAGGCAAAATAATTTTGGTCCCCTAAATCCAAAAATTGGACCAAGATTTTGAAAATTTAAGGCTCACTTTTTACCATTTGGCCAAATAGGCAAGGCCAAGTTACGGCCAAAAAAGACCCATCAATTTTCTGAATTTTGAATTTATTGAGACGAAGGATACAGTCTAGGTGCGTATAGTCTTTTTATTTTTTCGTGAAGCCACTCAGTAAAATCCCGATTTCTCTGCAACCTGATGTCCAATCGATCATTCAAGTATCTATGTGTTCCTGACACGCTTGGGCGTTCCGATTTCAGTCATGAATTACGTCAATTTCGCGTGCAAACATTAGGTAGACGTGTGGCTTCACGAAAAAATGAGCAGCACTTAATTTAAAACAAACAAGGCAAGGCAAAATGAGTTGAAAGCAATATAAAACTTCCATAAGATTTCTGAACAATATTGCTAACGTGTGCTAATCAAGGGCGTTACAATACCCGGGAATTTATCGGTTCGTGCAGTACTTGTTTGTGATAGCGTCCTCTGTAGGTCACTGTGCTTAATAGCCTACAGTAATACGGGGTAGGATATCGGGAATTCGGTCAGTTTCCATCCGTCGATTACGCTATGAATTGAAGCAAGTGTGACCACTTTATCCACATAAACAATTTGATAATTGATTAAATCTTTAAACAAAATCGATAAACACGTTATACACTTCCTATCTCCTTAGAAATTAGCATGTATTTATGGATTGTGTTTTCGAACAAGGCTCGACCCAGACCAATAGGGAAATCCTTATGCTAATTAGTATGACGTCATATTTTCCTGGGGAATCCTAGATTTCAAAGCCTCAGGCTGTTATTGTGTCAAATGTAAACGCTCTTTTGCAGACAGAAAATTGACAGATTAGCTTTTAACTTTCAGCTTTGATGTTTAAATATTCTGTATTTCTACCGGACTTCTTGCTGAATATCATATAATGTTATAACTTGATTTGGACCATTGCCTGATTGATCATTCTGAAATTTTGATTGTGATTCATGATTGATTGGCAAGAAAAATAATTACTATTGTTTTCCAGCGAAGTCAAAATGTTACAGCATGAGTTATAATGTCGAGTTTGCATCATGTTAAATTCCTGCTAGTGATTAGAAGTCCATGCACAAGCATACACATAAGTAGACGTGGATCCACGGCTCTAGTGAGACAAACACACCCAGGCTCCAGGCCGTGGATGGAAATATAAAACTATTTAAGGCACAAACTGGTATTTAATAGACCGATATGTAGTGTCTGCCATGTATTGAAGGTAAACCAATCTGCATTATTAATGTTACTTCTATCAATACATGGATTGTGCAATGGAAAAGCAATGGCACAATCAAAAATGTGCATACTAGTATCAATCGTGAATATCTCTCGGTTCAAAGCTTATTTCCAACAGAATCGTGTCAAAATATGTGTCTGAGTAACAGTAATACATTATAAGATCGCAAACTCTTATCAGCCGAATGGCTCATTTTCAACGAAATGTCCTTAAGACAACAGCCCTGGGTCGCGCCTGAGACCAAAAACTATTTCAAATAGCCCTCCTCTCAAATATATTGGATAATCACATTTATGCATGCGCGCGCAGCTCATCCACTGAACGAAACGCCACTTCCCGCTGAAATCACCGGGTATTGATCTTTCCCTTGTGCTAACTTGAACCATCCAATAACACTGGTGATCCGCTCGATTACGCTGGTTACCGAAACGGTTCGTTTTGGTAACAAAATGTCGGAACGTCGAAGGTACGATTTTTCTTTTTTCCTTATTACACGCGTTGTACGGGCAGAATCCCAACGACGTTTTTTCTCACAAACGTGTATCAGCATCATATGTTTTAGAAAATGTACATGTTTGCGAAAAATAGCTCAGAAGACAACATTATTCCTCACTTAAGTTACATAAACGGTTTGAGTTAAAAGTGCAGATCTTAACTGTTTTTCGAAAAACCGTTTATGTAACTTAAGTGAGGAATTAAATCGACGATTCTGTTGTCTTCTGAACTATTTGTTCGCAAATATGTACATTTTCTTAAACATGTGATACTGATACACGTTTGTATTAAAAATGTCGTGGGATGATTCTGCCTACAACGTGTAAAATAAGGAAAAAGGAAAAATCGTACCTTCGATGTTCCGACATTTTGTTACCAAAAGGAACCGTTTCGGTTACCAGCGTAATCGAGTGGATCACCAGTGAATAAATCTGGCCTCATTTTTATTCAACTTATAAGCTTATACTTAGGAGATAAGTGCTATTCTAAGTGCACATGTACCGACAAGCAAAACTGGTAAGTATATTTCACTACTTTTCTGTTTGTGTAATAATCTCAATAGGTACAAAGATCTGAACATTGTATTAGCCTTCGAGAAATCAATAAACAGTAGCTGCTTATGGAACGTTCTGAAACAGGAATAGAGGGAGGATGAGAACCACAGTCATATTTTATTTCGAATGGTGAGTAACTGCAAAATGGCAACCTCAGTATTGAAGCAATGGAGTCATCCTGATACGCATAGCATCTTTCTGTTTCACCTGAAACATCGGTGGGCTGAGAAGAAATGAAATGTCATGGTTTATCATGATGCAGTGGAGTAGGTCATATATATTCTTTGGTGAACGTGTTCAAGAAGATCTTATAGTGAAGATAGGTCATTTAATTTGGTAGTCGTGTACTGAACTCAAGACCATGTATGGTTATATTGTCGTGTAATGATGTCATATGGTAGTAGTAGTGCACTGAAATGAAGGTCATGTTTAATAGTTTATGGTAGTTGTGTACTGAAGTTAATGTCATGTATATGGTGGTGGTCGTGTACTATGTGAGCGATCACATGCCGATTTGACAGTATGTTACTTATATGGTACTCGTAGACTAGTTCATATGTCTATACCCTTGCTTGTTATTGAACTATTGGCAATTCAACTCGTAATTGAAGATCTCAGATAATATGAAAACAATAGGTTATGTGATAATGCTGCTAATAAAACTATTGAGTTTGATGCCTTGTTTCCCAACTCTCATGAACTTGCTCAACATCCTTCTTGATAAAGTTGATACAGTATCTAATACCTTGATATCTCCCTTTACAGATCAGAAACTACAATGTACACGCCTAACCATCGATAACGTACAGTGACCTGTGATGTAGGTTTCAAAAAATTATCTAAGGAATATGATGAATTATTCCATGTTTAATTTCATGTGCATGCTCTTGCCATGACTTATTACTTTCTAATTACGTTAACAGATTCTCGAGCAGTGCTCGAGTTTCTCTTGGTTATTCTACCCACATAAAATGAATATAACCAACTTTTTTCCAATCGTCCAATTATTGTAGTCAGGACTTTAAATTGTGTTTTGTTATAAATTGTTTTATTTCCATATGACATCTTTTTTAGAATTTTCAGCCCGATTTTAGTATTTTACAAGTACATGTAACTTATCTTTTCTAGATCTTGCTAGTCTTATTCATTCAGGTGTCGCTTCGACCCTTTCCATTTTTATTTAGTATTTCGAAATGAAAATTTGATATTATGTTTCTCTGGAAATTTCTTTCTAAATTACTCAATTAATTTGTCTCAACAAGTAGATTCATTTTGGATAGTATTGCTAGAATCCATTTTCAATAATTAGAATAAGGGGTTGTTAAACAGGACAACACCGTATAAGTGAATTGCGAAATCTCTGTATTATCGCTCTGTATATCTCATTTATTTCATTTTAATATTTTCATTTATAGACATAATTCAAAGTGATCACTCGTTGCGATAAAGGGATATCACCCAAACTAATCATATACGTTCTGCATCACACCTGGGTTAAGCAATGACTCCTTTCCTGAAAGAAGTGTTACAGACAGTAGCAAACAACGTCATCACGGTGATAGTCTTCGCGATAGCACTGTTGTTAAGCTCCCGATGGTACAGACATCGCAATTTGCCCCCGGGACCATGGGGACTTCCGTTCATAGGCATCATACCATTTGTTGGGACCCACCTTCACAAGACCATGATTACATGGAGTAAAAAATACGGCGATGTCTTCAGTTTCTACCTCGGTCCCAATCTATCATTGGCTATACATGGGTAATTATACTATTTATAAACGAGCTAGTCTTGAGATTATGTAAAATTATATTCATTTAAACTTATACAACTTATAGTACATATTTCTACATATAAAACTTTTTTGAAATTATATTTGTATTATTTTATATATTGTACTTGAAATGTATTAAATGAGTACTTAAATAAAAAAATACATTTTTAATAGCGACACCTGTGTCACACCCGCACCAAAGAGACTTAATGTACTTTTACGTTGGTCAGGTATGAAAACATTAAAGAGGCGTTTGTTAAACACGGTGACCATTTTTCTGGAAGAGAACTGATGTTTATGGTAAAGGACACAAGGGGAAAATACACAGGTACGTAGACGTACAGTATTGATTATCTTTGTGGTATTTGTCCCTGGATTAGCCTTTATTTATCTGAAATGTTCAGGTCATATATGGTCGTTGGGAAATTAGTACATATACCCCTTCGGCTATCAAAAATGAAAAATATACCCTCAATCTTTGTTTTATTCTGAACATTATGTGTAATGCTTGTATGTAACATTTACCATGGGTTCGTTTGTATCTTCAAGGGGTTCTGATAAACCAAGACAAGGCATGGCAGCAGCATAGGAGATTCCTAGAACGAATTTTTAGGGAGCTGGGCGTGGCTAAATCTACATGGGAGTCCAACATCCACGATGAACTGAATCATTTTCTCGCTGAAATAACAAGTAAAAATGGCGAAGCATTTGACATCCATCAGTTGTTAAACATGTCCGTGGCAAACGTCACTAATAAAATCATTCTTGGCGATAGATTCGAATATTCGGATGAGTCGTTCCAACGCCATGTCAAGATGATTGATGACATCATGAACAACTGGCAGTTGTCAGTCTTCTTCAACATGTATCCATGGACACGTCTATTACCAGGAGATCCCACTAACTACTTTACGTTAAAGAAGTGTGAGCACTCTCGGCAATACGACGTCATACAACCAATGATTGACAAACGTAAAACCGAATGTGAGAAAAATGGTAGGAAAAATGACAAAGATATCATAGGATATTATCTGAATGCATTGGAAGAGAAGGACAAACTGGTGAAATATTCCACATTTGAAAGTGAGTATATTTTAGAGATGCCTGTATGGTGGCAGTGGTTGATTAATCAATCTTCACAAAAACTTTTCCAAAACTTCTGTTGAAAATCATAAATGTCCAGAATCAGAAGACGTCCCCTTTCCAAAGATATTAAATAAGCTTTTAAATGTATCTGAAATTGAAGTCAGAATTCTTGACCTTTTAAGAAATTAAGCTGTATATGACATGTAGTAATGGAGAATGGAACAAAACGTCTCCATCGTATATTGCACCATTTTAGGTTTTGCCCTGTTTTTATGTTCACCCACTCTATACCAATGATATTGCGTCTGTTTATTTCAGTGTTGCAACTAAGATGTATCATCGATGATTTGTTCTTCGCTGGCACGGAGACCACAAGCACGACCATGCGATGGGCATTGTTATATATGATCAAATACCCACACATTCAAGAGAAAGTACGCCAAGAAATATTCGACAATATTGGAAAAGGTCGATTGCCAAGTTTGAACGACCGTGAAAGTCTCCCGTATACAGAAGCTGTACTTTTAGAAATACAAAGATATAACTCTATTGTCCCTCTGGCGGTGCCCCATCAAACTACTGCAGATGTTACATTTAAGGGGTACCATATTCCAAAAGGAGTTCTTGTTTATCCAAACCTCTGGGCATTACACAGAGACCCTACATTGTGGAAGAACCCGAATATTTTTGACCCTCTTCGTTTTTTAGATGAAAACGGTCACGTGGTAAAGCCTCCACACTTTATGCCATTTTCAATAGGTAAGCACCAGCTTAGACCAACTCCGGGCTCATATTTGTTCTTCCCTTGTGGAAATAAGAGGTTCATTTCTACCTAAGTATTGTTCCTTCAGAGTAACAAATGGTAAGTGGCGACATTTTGCATGGTAATGTCTGGTGTGTGATCACTAAACAGTTAACAGAGCGTTGCAATTCTATCACCAATCCCCTCACGAATTTGTATATTATATGTATGTGTTTATGTAATAAATATAAGATTCACCAATTATAATTGAACAAACTGACTATCTATTTATGCCATATATTTTCAGGAAAGCGGATCTGTGCTGGAGAAGTCCTTGCAAAGTCTGAGATGTTTCTCTATTTTTCCACAATGATGCAACGCTTCAACTTCACATTCCCAAATGGACGGACAACGCCATCTATGGAAGGTGTATTGGGTATCACACTATGTCCAGAACCTTTCAAATTGTGCGCCACAAGAATTTGAGCTGAATAAATCATTTAAACAATTTCTGATACGTCTATATATGTTGGGGTTAACACAATCACATCATTAATATTTGTCTTCCAAGGTGGTCATAATATTACATGTTTGGGTCATTGAAACTTGAGGAATCATGTCAAATCTGGGTGTTGCTGAAAATATATCTACCTATGTGCAAAGTATGACTTATTTTACAAGGGCAACTGGAGATATTCATATTCATATGTAATATACCCACCGTCAACAACAAAGGTACAAACCGAAGATAACTCTATAGATGATACAATCTGAACTGTTTCATATCCACAAATCGTGACACTCACCACTCACAAAGAGGCTCACTGCCTTTCTATCAAAATTGAACAAAACATAACCGTCATTCTCACAATCAATGTCAAAAGCTTTCTGTATATTTGCCCAAAAGGCCCAAAGTTAATTCGTGGTTTGCGCCATTAAAACTGCTTTGGAGCAAATGATGGAAGAAAGTTACCTACGATAGCTCATCTTGGATTTCCAAGGTATGATGTTTTCATAAATAGAAAATCAAACTGGGAAACGAGTATGCGATAGCTAGGATCAGTTGAATTCTAATTAGGTTATATACGGCACAACCATTGTGAAATAAGATTCTTCGTCTTTATTCTTTTATGAAATATATACATATTCTGAAATCAACCTGTTGATCACTGTTAGCACTAGTGGAACAAAATAATGGCTTTTGTTTCAAATCATCATTCCAACCCGATTGTAACAATCTTCGAAAAGTTACCCTCATTCGTCTCCGAATCTTTATTGCGCATTTCTAAACTAGTCTTATCTTAAGATCATTGCATTCTGATACTCATAGCATCTTTCTGTTTCACCGGAAACATCTCAGGGCTGAAAAGAAATGAGATGTCATGGTTTATCATGATGTCTTAAGATACAAATAGTAATTTATAATGATCAGAGTATTATAATCTATATAATATGCACAAATTTTAATATCAATTTGTTTTGAAGTAGTTTTACATACAATACCATTGGCTTGAGGCGATAACAAAATCAGCCAATGCGTATATCATAGCTGAGAAAATCTAAATATCAAACATTTTCACAGATGTTAATAAGTTGACTGAAATATTTGACGTATAGTATTGCACATCAATTCAAAACTGATTCACTTTTGTACCCAGTATTCGCAAAAAGCAAACCTCTATTGTTATATCAAGCGTGGTTATTTTTTTGTTTTGAAGCGCCCCTATCTTTTTCTCCATATTTCAACATGACCAGCTTGATGACAATTATGAGTGCTATCATGAATGATGAGCAAATACAAGTCTGCACCATAGAGGCCTGCGAACCAAGATTTTGGAATACCCAACCAGAAATAATGTCCAATCCAAAGCCGGTTATGCCAGCCCCCATTCCCCACAATGCAACTACACTTCCGGTAACTTCCATATAAGGCTCTGCCCACGCCATCATACCAGGCCAAAGAGGTGATGTAACAGACAGTAAGACACATGTAAACACCCAATAAAGAACTGGGTCACTAAGACCAACAGTCACCAAGCAAACTGACATAGCAAAAGCTGTAAACAGTTCAAAATAAATCAGTATCCACATTGGGCACCATTTGGTGATAATCATCGTAATAAAGCGGAACCCTATGGACGAAGCGCTTGCAGTAGCGGCAAGTAGAGCAGCTTTTTGCTTGCTAAAGTTTAAATCTTCGTATGCTATCGCTGACGAGTAAGTTCCTATAACAGCCAGTTGGGCATCCACACCCGAATAAAAAAGGAATCCCAGAAATAACATGATGAGTCCGAATGATGTTTGTCCTTGAGTGCACTGTTTCGGAGAAATCACTTCCCGCCAAGATTTCTTCACTGCTTGTGAAGCTTTTTGAAGCTTTGGTTTTGGGATTAAGTATTGATAGGCTAGAAAAAGAATCCCAATGAAGATTCCATAGCAGCCTATCACAATGTATGGCACTTCAATGTGAGAATTGTTGACTCTAATATCAGTTGGTATTACAGTAACGTTTTGTACATCAGTAAGTACATTCATCCAACTTGTAGCGGTTGAGGCATTGATTTGGGAGGAGTTGTAGAAGTTGGTTGAGTTGTAAGCCTCTTCATCTTCGGGTCTAGTACCAAGGAAAGGTCGTGCAATCATCGGGGCGATAAAAGCGCCGAATCCCCAGCCGAAATGCATGGCGTGCAAAGGTGGAGATGTATCTTCTTGCCACATGTCAATTATCATTGCGTTCCCCACTGAAATAAGACACACCAGATTTAAGGCTTCTTTAACCAACACTTTTGACAATAATCTTATTTTAGTTTATAGATTTGGGTTATTAGAATTGTCATTTTATTTGGATTTTACAAAGTTTTCTCATTTCGCATGGTTTGTATTCAGACTGTGCGTGTTCTACATTTAAAACGCATCCAAGAACAAATTGGCATCTCCTGTAGGCTAGGAGTAAAAAAGATATATTCAAAGGCTTAAATGCCAACATCAAATGAGGACCAACACATTGATATGAAATGAAATAGAATTCCAATTAATTAAATGATACGACATTATTGCGACGTTTGACACGAATACGATAATGTCATTTCAGCTGTAGGTCGGGATGTCATGAATAAGTAACCATTTGAGATTTGAAAACATGTTTTTATTTATCAACTTGCCAAAGAGATATCAAACGTGTTAATTGCACTTCTTATCATTCATTCTATTGGAGATTGTACCAAGTTACCCCAATGTTTTACTTTTACATATTCCTGTATAGTACTACATATTATCATGACCATGATATAATTCATATAATTATGTCGATTTTACAGTTGTTGTTGTTATTATTTTTCTTTATGCTTTGTGTATGTCTAATGTTATCCTTTGTGCTCTGCAATGCTCAAAAATCATTCTTACCGAGACCGTAAAGACCGTGTGCAAAGCCCTCCATCCAGTAGAGAAACGTGAGCCCTTGGAAGTTGGAGGCCCAAGGTTTTAGTATGACGGATATCGCTTCTAAAATGAAGCCGGTTGCTAACTGCATGTCACGAAATCTTGGGAACCTAATGGAATACACAAAACGTCAGAGTTGGTGAAGTAGATGAGCTTACCTTGAAATGGGCATATATTACAAGTTATTTTTATGTTTAATATTGGGCCTGTGATGTAAAATGCAAAACTGAATCTTGTTTACATGTTATCTGGAAATATTCACTCGTGAAACATCCTCATATGTAATGAAGATTTTAGAATTTTTGAAATAGGCTCAAACCAGGTACACTTCAGTACATAGGGTCCACTTTCCTTATCTCATGAACACAAATCAAAATTATTACCTGTCAAATATGTAACCGGCTATTGGGGACGCCATTATCCAACCCATGGCCCTGAGGGAGACGGCTATTCCTATTTCGTTGTAGTCTGTCCCAGTACGTTCCTTAAGGTCAGGAATTGTTGGCACCTTCACGCTCCACATCATTCCCTGGAAGATAAACTTCAGCCATTTCATGGTGTCTGTGTTTTGGTCATGCGGGACAATATTTCTCTGCTCCGGGCAATGTTTTTCTGCCTGCAAATCAAAGCTTAGAGAAAGGAAGATTAAAGCACATCATTCCCCCATTTCCAAACTGCTCCTACAAGTATGACCAGTGCTAAAGAAAGACAGGGTGCCCATTTCCCTGACAATACTGTGCATATGCATGGCTATTCAACAGAATTGAAGAAGATCTGACTGCAGGTGGTTATGCTGCATTACTTAGCTCATTGCAGGTTCCAGGGCCCTGTGTGTAAAGTGCTAAGAAAGTTAAATGAAGTGCCTTTTCTCTTCATGAATTACCCCTCGTGGCCAAAGCACTAGCTACCAAAGCAACAACAATTTTTGACTAATCGGAGAACAAAAATTCATTTTTGGGTTTTGATGCACAGATATTTTTCCATAGTCTATTCTACGACTTCAGATGTATTTCAAGTTCCTAAATAAAGTATGGACTTAAAATTGGAATTTTAGGAAATAGGCAAGTCGAGATTCTGGAAATACACATTTTTGGAAAAATGTTTAAGTTTACCTTTAGGCTTTGGTATATTGTTAACTATAAGTGTTACTACTCACATTTGCGACCCATGCTAACAGAAGACAAATGGTTTTGATTAAATTATATCTGAATAACTTTTTCTTCCGTTCGGGAGTTTCCTCTGGGTCAGTAACACTGAATTTCTGTACTTTAGTGAAGAGCGCCTCATCTGCGGGGTCCTCATCAACAATCCCATTTTTAGTATCATGAACTTTCCCGCCTTTGTAGATAACTCCTCCTTTGATTTCATCTTCACCATTTAAGAATGGCTCCTTCGTATCCCCATTGGGATAGTTCTTTTCAGTATTATTAGGCATTTTAGCATGTGGAAGTAGAAGACATAACCGTGTAATAGAGCACTGGCCTAAGTGTATTTCAAGAGAGCCCTCAATAAAGATAAGACTGAAGTCCTACTAGAGATAATAAAAGTCATTGATTCGCATGTCCCCACGTAGAATGGCTTCTTTGAAAATAATATATATTGATACGAATAGTGATTTTTAAGGAACCTAAAATGAATCACACGCCACAATTAGATGACAATACTAATAAAAGAAACATGAAAATACAAACGCAGGGCACAAATCCTATTGTGAATTATGTAAAATTGTAAAGTAAGAGGGGACACGAATAAAGAATTTTAAATCAACATATTTATCATTGTATTACGTGTTATTAAGATACCAGATAATTCGACATTATCATTTTCAGTTTATTTCTAGTATATTATCTATCAATCACATGTTTTGATAAAAATACATGTTGTTTTTATTTTGAACAAGATACCTGTATATTGTGGAGTTCACTCAAAGCCTACTTCTCAAATACCTGAGTTAGAAGTACATGTAATACTAAATTGTTGGGGGACCAGTAAACTGAGCAATGAGAAATCTAGCTTACATTAACGAATGAAAGACGATCATTATTTAGTCTTTAGCACAATTTATTCTCCCCTCAACTTCTTTACACAGAGTTGTAGTGAATACAATCTTTCTCATATATCCATGTTATACAAGTGATTTATCTATGTGTTGTTTACAAAATAAGGATGAACAAAATATAAACAGGAAAGGTACCGGTTACAGATGTCAATTGAAAACTATAGCTATTTGTGTTATTGCGTCTGCATACTCTAAAACCTACATTTAAGTAAAGGGTAAAGGTAATATCTATACTGTATTTACTACTCTATTAAAGAAGCGAAATGAAACTATTTAAAAGGGTAGCATATGTAATTGTAGAAAAAGATTTCTTATATTTTGAATGGCCCTTTTGGTTCGATTATGAAATAATTTCCTTATATAAAACCAACAGACACTAACTGATTAGGCACTAAGTCTGCCCTTTTGAATATAGGTCAGCAGCTGAGCAAATTTAAAAAAATAAGTTTGTCCCCTAAGTTTCTCACTGGATTCATGTAGAGCAAGGTCTTGGGCTTATTTTGAGCTTGGGTTCTCTGTCCTAGCCCCGACTGGAGTTCATAATAGTTCATAATAATAAATAATAAAGTAAAATTTAAGCAGAAATAATTAATTTACCCCTTAAGATGCCCCCTATTTTAAAGAGTGTGTGTGGGAGACTAAGGAAATATTTTTGAAATTCACATGCATTGGAAGCTTATGATGTTTGGCAATGGATGTTTTAATATGCTGGTATTCATAATGGTGAGTTTGATATTAATAGCAAATGTAAACCATCCAACATTTCTAAATAAAAGCAAAATTATAATCGATTTTACATCATGAGAAAACCCCAAACCTGATATATCTCCTAGCGACCATTAAGTCCATGTTTTCACCAAGATCCACAATCCAATAACTGAGTTTTAAATACTCTAGCATGCATTCCAAGAGGATGAACCAATGTATGGGCTTATATAATTAAAGATTCAATCTCTCCTTGCAGGTTACTTACTAATATGTAAAGTAATTAAAACAATTACTACTTAACATACATTGTTTTTTGGATTGTGCTGTTACAATGACTGAATTGTGCTGGCACAATCACGTCAACACAATCAAGAGTTACATTTATTTCTCTTTGTTTGCTTCATCAAGTGATCTGAAAGATGAGAAGTAATAATGTACATACAGGGTATTTCATATCTTTGCACCCCTCCCCCCATAAACTCATACATCTAGCATGGCTACCCTATCATTTTATGTATCATATCGAAAGTTACATAGAATTGCAAAGTTTCAGAATCAAGGTGTATCGCTGAAAAAAGATACATTGTATCAAAGATTGCGGGTACGGGGTCATTTAGAGGGCATTTCCTGGTGATTTTTCGACTCAGGTCGGTGATCTGTGCACTTTTTCTCATATCCATTTTTAATGATAGAGGTCGCACCAGGGTCCCTGGCCTCTCCATAAGCCACTGCAAGAATCCTATCTATACATCTTTGCGTATAACTGTCACACTCATGTGGACTGAAATCTGCCATGATGACAACTGTTTGAAATTTGCAATACAGAAACTCAATTTCCCCTTAAAAGTGCCTTCAAACTGACCAGAAATTCCCCTCGAATGACCCATACCCACATACTTTGATACGGCATTTCTTTTTTCAGGGATACCGCTGGATTCTGAAACTTTGCAATCTTATGTAACTTTCCATAAGGAGCAAAATATATATAACATGATGGTGTGGCAATATGACATGTATGAGTTTATGGGGGATGTATACATATGAAACACCCTGTATGCATTTATTAGTTAAAGTGTACAGATATAAATATTTCTCCATACAAAGAAAGATATTTACTGGTTGTGTTGAAGTGATTGTGCCAACAAAACCCAGTATATTGTGTCAGCACAATACAAAAATGATAAATAGATAGCTCCAATTAGCCTTTGGTGATTCCCTAGAATGCCATGGAGGTGCTTTAATAGCCCCTATTGATTCATTCCTTAGTAGCCCTTGGGGACTACTAAGAATGCTTGGTGTTGTTTTAGTAATCCTGATTGGTTCTTTCATAGCTTTAGTAATGGCCTTAGTGATAAGATCGCATGCCCTGGTTGTGCTTTAATAACCCTTATTGGTTCATCAATAGTCTAGGAAATAACCTAGTATATCCTGGTTGTGCTTTAAACATATGGTTCCTAATAGACCTTTGTGATTTCTCTGTACAGGTGGTTGTGCTTTGATTTCCCCCATTGGTTCATTAAATAGCCTTAGCAATTACCTACATGTAGTATGGCTGGTTGTGGTTTAATATCCCAAATTGGTTCCTTTTAAAGTGATAACCTAGTATGCCCTGATTGGCTCTGATTGAACTTTGATACCCACAATTGGTTCCTTAGTTTGCTTAGTGATGCTTTAATAATCCCTATTGGTTTCTAAATCTGCCCTAGTACTCCCTAATATGCCTTGCTGGTGCTTTGATAGCCACAATTGGTACTTTAATATCCATTAGTGATTCCCAAAGATGCCCTTGTTGTTCTTTTGTGCTGCAGTATTCCTTCATGGTTTCCTAGATACCCTGATTGGTTCGATGGGCTTTCTCTTTAAAGCTCATGATGGTTCCAAGTAGGTCATCATGGTGTTCTGTTAGCCCCTAAAGAGCACTACAAGGCATATTAGGAAGCACTAATGGGTATTTAGAAACTAATTAAAGCTCTCTGGGTATACTAAGGAATTGATAAGGGATATAATGAAACAAATATGGGGTATTATGGCACAACGAGTGCATATTATGATAGCACTAAGGCTATAAAATAACCAAAGAACCAAAAAAGGATATTAAAGCACCTCTTTCAGTCTTTAGCTTACTAGGGGTTCAGTTAAGACTATTGAAAAACCAACTAGGGATATGGTATGTGTAATATTTTTGTATTGTGCTGACCTTATTGACTGGGTTGTGCTGGCACAATTCCTGCAACACAACCAATAAATACCTTTCTTTGTTTAAGGCTGAAATATTAATGCATGTACACTTTAACAAATATATATATATTATTTCTCGTCTTCCTGACCAATAGATACAAAGATACAACATACGAAGAAAAATACTTTCTGCTGGTTGTGTTATGATGATTCTTCGAAAAAACATACATGCAGTATGACAGTGACATCAGATTAATAAGTTCATGCATTACTTACAACACTTTCTAAAAGCTTGATTAGATGGTAATTACAGTTACCACTTCCCTTGCACTTACAAAACATGCAACAATTAATTTTGTTCAGTTCACATAATCTGTTTTGTACCACACTTACTATAATAAATTAGATTGAAGTAGAAATAATCTGGATACTACCCGTGAATGTGGTCACTCTACTGAATTAACATTCAAAGACTCAATTTTTACAGAGAACTAGGGGGGCTGCCATCCTTTAATTTAAACTCTTTTAATAATAGAAAACAGGAAGACAGGGTAGACTTTCTACTTTTTGCAGATCCTTCTCTTGACACAATTACAAATAAAAAGGCTAATGAATTAACAGCCGTATTTTTACACTCTATTGTCAAGGAAGTTAAATAGTCCAATATTCATTAATATTATCAGTTATCACACGCTTCAGCATGTGATACAGGAAATATTCCACGAAAGGTAATACTGTATCATCCACGAAAGCGAAGCTTGAGTGGTGATACATTGTTACCCGAGTGGAATATTTCATGTATCACATAACCTGACTCTTTTACAAGTAACAATTCGAAGACAATTTATGTGAGGAAGACTTGTTAAAAAATGGTCAGATAGTCCTTTCGAAAAAGCGCTACTTGGACTAAGTCATTTTTCGTGAAGAGTAATCTACTGCTTTAATTGGACTTCAACTTTTCTCCACGAAAAATGAATGATTTTTTATGTAGGTATTTCCAAAACACGTTACTTTGCCATAAAAGCGCAACTTTATTGGACTATAACTTTTCTCCATGAGGGATGCATGAATTTCTATGTACACCCTTGGTATACGCAGCTAACGAAAATTGACCGGTACGGGTCAAAAGCTGGACCGGTACGGGTAAACGGTTTTATTTGAATTTAAAACAGCCATAACTTGCTCAATATTGACTTCCTCGTGTCTAATTTGAAATATATGATGCCTCCCGATGCTTTTAAGTACCCCAATTTTTTACAGATTTTTAAACGGACCAAAACTCTCTAAATGCGCATTTATGCTCTTTTCTCTCGAGAACGACTGTCTCATTTTCACGATAACTTTTATTTAGTACTTCTAACATATAAGATCTATTTTTCCCCATCAAGGTATGATGTAAATGACATGCTATTTACATCTTGTGAGTTTCAATGACGCGCGTTTGATTTTATAAAAAATGCCAAACTTTGTGACAAAGAATTTCATCAGCTATTGCCCCGAACCGGTCCGTCTTCTCGCTCCAAGCAGATTGCCCCGAATGAATTTTTATGTAGACATTTTCGAAACACGTTACTTTGTCATAAAAATGTAACTTTATTGGCCTAACTTTATCCACGAAGAATGGATGAGTTTTTATGAAGACATTTTCAATAAATTTTATGTTCACGTTATTTTAATGTTTATATGATTCAAACGTTGTATATATAGAACGCAA